TCTGTGTGGTAGACATATGTTTCCTTAATCTAAATTTAATAGTTACAACTTCCTTACTTTACCCCTTCTCTGAGGGTCTGAAGATGCCCTTGCAGTTGCCACCTTTGTGGTATCTTTGTTCTTCTTTAAATAGAAATCTTCTATTGTGTCATAAAATATTACAAATTGTCTTGTGACCCAGTGACTTGTTTTTGTGGCTGGATTACAGATTTTATTCATCAGCCTACTACACTATTGCTTCTTCTAAAATATGGACACTATCTCCCCCCGCCCCCCAATGTGTAAGATTCTTGTTTTTAACAATTCGGGTTTTGAAATCAAACCAGCTAAGTGTGAAAACAAGTTCAGAGACACTGAACATGTGACACTTGTCCTCATTTGAATCCTGCCAATGAATTTGTCACCCAACATTGTGGATTTCAAGAAGAGACCCATCTCCTGAGTGACCCTCATGGGGAAGTATGTATCCACAGGCTTTCTGTGGTAATGGAAGCCCAGTGTCATCTTCTGCGAATAATTGCTGACAGCATCAACAGTAGTCTATTTCCTGACTGTAAGTCAATCCAAAGCTACTATTCTCACAGATGTTAAAAAAAAAAAAAAAAGAAAAAGAAAAAAAAGTGTCCCTTTTCATTCTGCTTTGAGACACGGTCCTACAATGTGGCAATGGTGGCCTTTGACTCAGCATTTTCCTGCCTTTGCCAATTTGCTTCACCATACGCTTGCTAACCAGCTGAGAATGTCACCTTAGAATACTCTCTCAATTCAAATGGCTGGCATAGCTCTTGCCTTTTACTGAGCCAAGAATGACAGCCCAGACAGCAGAGCTTCTGGTGTCTGCACATTAGTTTGCTACAGCTGCTTTAACACATTACGTTGAACTTATTAACATGGTTGACTATGTTACTATAAAGTCTGCAGGCCTTTATGTACACTGAGCAAACACTGCCAACTGGGCTAACTCCCTAAGAAGGACTTAAGCAAGATATTAGCAGACTGTTCTCCCTCAGGAGCTAAGCCCTTTTCCTGCCTCTCCAAGCTTCCAGAACTGGGGCCTCAGCCCCAGGCCCATTCTTCCATCTTCAAAGGCAGCAGTGCATCAGTCAACCCTCAGCCCCAGGCCCATTCTTCCATCTTCAAAGGCAGCAGTGCATCAGTGTCTCTAAATCTCCACTTGAATTTGGGCATGGTAGCACAGGCCTGTAATCCTAGCACTTGGAGAGGGTGGCAAAAGGATCACGAGTTCAAAAACAGCTTTGGCCAGTGATTTTTTGAGGCAAGTCTTGGCTATGTGAGACTCTGTTTCAACCAAAACCAAAATACCTCTACTTGTTTCTGCTGTCACATCATGCCTTCTGTCTTGTATGGAATCATTCCTGTCTCACTGAGGACTTTTAATTATTTAGGGCTCACCCAAATACACTAAGGAGAACTCTCCACGCAGCTGCAGAGCCTCCATTTAATCTTACCTGCAGACTTCCCTTTGCAATAAAAGATGACTAAGAATTAGGATGTGCATACAGAGTGAAGGCTGCCCTTCAGCTTCTGCCCCTGCCTCAACCTCTGAGTACTGGGACGATATAGCATGTACCACTACACACACAATTTCAATTTCACATTACTCCCCCCACCCCAAGACAGAGTTTCTTTGTGTAGCCCTGGCTGTTCTGGAACTCACTCTGAAGACCAAGCTGGCTTTGAACTCAGAGATCTACTTGCCTATGCCTCTGTCTTCTAAGTGCTGGGATTAAAGGTGTGTAGCACTATGGCCTGGCAATATACTTTTACAAAATATATTGATATAATATTATGGGATGTTTTGTTGTTATTATTGATGCTTTTTTGAGGCAGGGTCTCTAGCCCAAGCTGGCCTCAAACTCCCTAAGAAGCTATGAATTAGTTCTCTCTCTCTCTCTCTTTCTCTTTCTCTTTCTCTCTCTCTCTCTCTCTATATATATATATATATGTATGTATGTATATATATGTATTTATATATGTATGTATGTATGTATGTATGTATACATACATGTATATATTTTTTTGGGGGGGGTTTCAAGGCAGGGTTTCTCTGAAGCTTTGCAGGCTGTCCGGGAATTAGCTCTTGTAGACCAGGCTGGGCTCAAACTCACAGAGATCAACCTGCCTCTCCCTCCCGAGTGCTGGGATTAAAGGTGTGCGCCACCACCGCCTGGCTTAATTGTTATATTTCTTGTAACTTTATACCTGTAAGACATATAGTAATGTTTCAGTTTTCATTCCTGACTTTGGGTATTTGTGCCATTTCCTTTTTTTTTCTTAATCCACCTTGACTTTCAGTTTTAACAATTCAGTTCAGTGAATCAACTTTAGGGACTGGCAAGATGGTTAAGTCAAGTAACAGTATTGACATCAACCCTAATGATCTCATCAAGTTCTGAGACCAGAGAACAACTTCTTTCACTTGTTCTCTGCCCTCTACACCCATCCCCCCCCCCCCAATAAATGTAGTTTAAAAAAAATCAACTTTTGGTTTCAATGATTTTTTTTTTTTAATGACAGACTTTACTTAATCTCTCTGTGTGTGTGTGCGCGCGCGCGCGCACACACACATGGAAGTCAGGGTTGACCATCACCACCTGTCACCTTATTTTTGTGCCTGACTGTTTTTTCTGTTTTTGAGACAGAGTCTCATTATGTAGTCCTGGCTGGCCTGGAATTCACTCTGTAGACCAGGCTAGCCTCCAACTCAAAGAGATCCGCCTGCCTCTGACTCCCAAAGGCTGGAATTAAAGGAGTGCACTACCACCCCCCCCATTCCTTTTTTCCTCTCCCCTGCTCCCTTCCTTTGTGTCGTCTCTCCCCCACCCCCCACCCCCCACTGGCTTTCTCTCTGTGGCCCTGACTATCCTGGAATCCCTATGTAGACCAGGCAGGTCTTAAACTTAGAGATCTGTCTGCCTCTGTCTCCTAAGGGTTGGGATTAAAGGTGTATGCCACCACTACCTGGCAGCTATTCTGTTTTTCTAATTTATATCTACCCTAATCCACTGTCCTAACTACTAGACTTTTCAGTTAAAAAATTACCAGATATGTCCTAGACACACCTGTGAATGGTGGTATCTCTATGTGTACAGTTACCTCAGTGGCCAATCCCCTGGGCAGGTGGAATTTTGGTCTCCAAAAAACAATTTTGGTTGTCATCAGTGGGCTGGCTACTGACATCTAGTGGACAGAGACCAAAATACTCCTAGAGTCCCAACAATGCACATCTGCTGCAAGGTGCCTACAACAAAGAATCTTAGCTCAAATACCAATAGTACTGAAGCTATGGAACTCTGAGCACCATAAACCAAACCTAGGAGTCACTCCAATGCCCAGTTCTCTCTTTTCCACCCTGCAAACTGTGGCAAGTCCTAAATGTTCCATGGCTAGCATTCACCCAGAATCTAAATGTGTCTTCCATATACTCAATTAATAAGGCCATCCTTTCCTGCCCATGTTACTAAAAGCTTCCCTTACAGAAATTAAGAGAAATTCCTTCAAAGCAAAAACTCTCCCATGCTTTTCTGCTCAAATCCTGTAATAGCTTTCCATTATACTTCCTAATTACTGTTGTGTTCTGTACTGGCAGCCCTGTTCTCCCTACCACTCAGCTTTGGCCACACTGGCCTTCCTGCTGTTCTTTGAACAGAACAAACCGTCTTCTGTCTCAAAGTCCTTCCTTGAAATGTCTACATTGCTGGCCTCCCTATTCATATCTTTTGCTGAAATGTCTTAGCCGCCTTCCCTTCGACTCTGTTCTTCCCACATCTTCGATTTTGTTTTCCTTACAGCATTTGCTACAATTTGCAACTAATTTACTATTATTTCTAGTTATATGCTCCATGGGGGAGGGACTGACTGACTTTCCCAGCACCTCCTATGATGCCTGGCAATTAGGGGTACTCAGACATCGGCTGATGGAATAAAAACAAAACAACTCACTCCAATTTTGGCTTTATGGTGCAGGCCTGTAACCACAGCTACTTGGGAAGCTGAATCAGGTTGACTGCAAGTTCAGGACACTTCTCTGGGCTACAGAGAAATTTAAAACCAGCCTAAGCCAACTTAAACAGAAAATGATAAATATATAATTTATCATTATAGTGGTTATTTGATATTTTATTTTAAAAAGAAAATCTGATTGCAAGATACATGCTTTTCATGATGCAGTACCATTGCTGTTAGTATCCAGGCATCTGTACTGTCCTGTCCTGTCCTTGGGGTTCTGACAGGGTATAGCCACTAAGAGTACCACCTGTGCATATTCACTATGTTCCCTTTTACAAGGGCCCTGCCCACCTTCCATCCTTCTTTCTCTTTGTCTGTCTGTCGTTGTTTATAGAAAGTCTGCAAAGGCTTGATACCAGGACCAAACTGGACAAATATTGTCATGACTTACCTCCCAAAGGTATTATGAAGGGCCCAGGCTGCCTAGAGGGCAAACAGAACATGGGCATACAGTTCTATCCAGGGAACAACAGGACTAAGATCTGATTAAAGCACCAACTTCACAGAAAAGACAACAACCCAGCACTGTTCACTTCTGTACAAGGTCCCTAACACACACACCCAGCCCACACCCATACCCTCCCCACACACACCTGTTAAAGGACTTCTTTATGTGTCCTTTTGAAAAAACAAATCAGAGGAGTGCTCTGACAGCATAGCTTTCAGTCAGTTGTTGACAAGACATGGAGGAAGAACTGGGCTTTGGGATGGAGTGAACAGCTAAAGGAGACTAGCCCAACCTCTAACTTATGGCACTTGGATTGATTGCCCTCAGAGCCTCAACAGCAAAAGAAGAACAGCCTTCCTACTCCTGGGTCACTGGGAACACTACAGCAGATAATTAACAGAAGCACTGAAGCAGGAGCAACACCTATTTCCTCTTCAATGTAAGTGTAGGACTTTGATCTGCTCACTCCAAACATATGTGACAGATAGGAACTTCTGTAAAATGGATTCTATTAAATAAATACCTTTAGTTTCTTAAGTTCAAATTGGTGATGTTGTAAAGAACGTTCACATTCATTTCTGCTTTCTTTAAGGGCCATATTCTCCTGCTGCAGCTGTTGCTGTAAAGTGAGCAAAGCACATGTAAGAAAAGGTCTTCCCAGCCATATCTCTCTAGCATGGTCCTTTTGAAATGACCTTTCTTGGGCTGAGGAAATAGCTCAGTTGGTAAAATAGTCAGAGAGGTATGATGCTCTGAATTCAGATTCCCAATACCAATGTGGGAGAGAATGGTGGATCTCTAGGGTTCACTGGCCAGCTAGTCTAGCCCAATCAGTGAGATTTCATCTCAAACAGTAAGGTGGAGAGCAACTGGGGAAGGCATCATACAGAAAAATGACCCTTTTTTATTTTGGTCACTATAAGAGTAAGCAACGCCGAGCGCTGGTGGTGCATGCCTTTAAACCCAGCACTTGGGAGACAGCAGCAGGTGGATCTCTGTGAGTTCGAGGCCAACCTGGTCTCTAGATCGAGTGCCAGGATAGACTCCAAAGCTACACAGAGAAACCCTGTCTTGACAAACCAAACAAACAAAAAACAGTAAGCAACAACGTGGGGACAATGAAGAAAAACCCTAAAAATCTCCAGGTGTCGGAGAGTAGCTCAGTGGTATGGCCTATGCCTACCAGGTGTGAGGCTCAGTCTCTGGATCTTCTCAAGGAAGAGTAGCATGCTTCTTAATACTTTAAGACCCAGAGGATCATAGGAAGAAGTAGCCACTAGGGAGGAACTGGGAAAATCTAAGGAAAATCAGGAAGATGTCCTTGTGGGAAACCCATCTGCTGTGCAACTCTAAAAAGCAATGTTTTCACTTCCAGTCTCCTGAGCAGGTTAAGTCCTTCTAGGAAAGAAGTAAACTGCTCTCTCAGTGGTTCCCCAGCCTAGAGAGGCATGATTCTGCTCAATTGTAGTGACACAGTGCTCTGCATGGACTCACCATTTCCTTCTCTGAAGCTATCTTGTTGGCCACCCGTGTTTGTTCCAGAGCTTCAATCTGGGCCTCCAGAGCATGAGTGCGTTCCCTGCATTGCTGCTCCAGGGAAAGAACCTGCTGTTGGGAAAGGCTGCTTTCTTGGTTTTTAGTGATCTGCAGGAAAACCAGAGGACAGTTAGCCAAGACACAAAGATTTCAGAGTAGTACTGATTTCTGGCTATCTAAAACTACCTTCTTTGACCTCTGCTGCCCTGAGGTGGCTTCAAACACCTGTTCTACTATTGCTGCTGCATTTGGCCTTCCCTGGAAACTGAAGCCTGGCATTTGCCCTGATGCCACTGGTACATGTAGGGTGAATACTGAGTACCACCCTGTTTTCAGATATGGGCATCCGTCAGCTATTCAATGGACCTCTATGGTTGAGGTTTTCCTAGGGGAGGCAGGAGAATGAACTGGCGAAGAATAGGGATACACATGAAACTGATGTGAGTGTTGTCACTCTGAGCTTACCTCATCTACAGAATGAGTATGATATGCAGTGACAGTGTGCTGCAAGGACTAAGTAAAAAGCATTCTGCACAGGGTCAGGGTTACCACAAACAGGAAACCAATGCTGGCTGCTTTCATTTCTCCATGTCCAATTTATTAGCCCACTCAGGGTATGATGATTATCCAAATGCTTCAACCCATTTTTTTTTTCCAATCCCAGTCCCCTCTCCTCTTGCTCCCCCCACAGCCCCCAAGAAGAAAAGTTAAAGTTGGCAGATGGACCGTGGCTTTTTGCATGAGAGTAGCCACCTCACCTCTCATTTGCTCCTCGGAGAGGATAAGGCCTCCCCTAGGAGGTCTACTAAGTCTGTCCCATCATCTTGTTGAGGCAGGACCAAGGCACCTCATCACCCCGACAACCCTGTGTGTAGGCTGGGCAAGGTATTTCACCATACAGAATGAGCTCCACTAAGTGAGTTTGTGCATTACAGTTAGATCTTGGACCCACTGCCAGTGGCCTCATATATTGTCCCAGCCTCACCATTGTCACCTATATTAAGGGAGTCTAGTTTGGTCTTATGCAGGTTCCCCATTTGTCAGAACTGAGTCAGTGACCTCTCACTAGCTCGGGTCAGCTGATTCTGTGGGTTTCCCATCATGGTCTTGACTCCTTTGTTCATATTATTACTCCTCCCTCACTTTGATTGTACTCCAAGAGCTTGGCCCATTGGTTAGTTGTGGATTTCTGCATCTGTTTCTGGAAGAGAGTTCAAGCTTCTCTGGGGTTATGGATTGTAGGCTGGGTATATTTTGCCTTATGTCTAGTATCCACTTATGAATTAGTACATACTATATTTGTCTTTCTGGTTCTGGGTTACCTCACCCAGAAGAGGGCATCAGATCTCATTATAGATGGTTGTGAGCCACTATGTGGTTGCTGAGAATTGAACTCAGGACCTTTGGAAGAGCAGGCACTGAGCCATCTCTCCAGCCCCCCCCATGATGGTTTTTTCTAGTTCTGTCCATTTGCCTGCAAATTTTAGGATGTTATTGTTTCTTACCACTGAGTAGTACTCCGTTGTGTAAATGTACCACATTTTCTTTATTCATTCTTCAGTTGAGGGGCATCTAGGTTGTTTCCAATATCTGGCTATTACTAATAATGTTGCTATGAATATAGTTGAGTAAATGTCCTTGTGGTGTGACTGTGCCTCCTTTGGGTATATGCCCAAAAGTGGTATTGCAGGGTCTTGAGGTAGGTTGATCGCTAATTTTCTGAGAAATTGCCATACTGATTTCCACCATTTTTTAAGAGGGTCTCGCTATGCAGGCTTGGCTGGATGGAACTCACCATGTAGACTAGGCTGCCTTGAACTCAGAGAGACCTGCCTTCCTCAGCTTTGTAAATGCTGAGGTTAAAGGAATGTGTCACCATATTCAGCTCATGCCATGGTTTTGATCTGTTTTCCAGAGCTAAGCTTTGAATTCCTGAGGACCCACCACAGGGCAGGATCATCACTAAACTACAAGTTAGTCCATGGCTCTGGGTAACGCTGATACTTCAGGGTAATCCTCCCACCCTTTCTGTTCATGTCGAGTAGTGATACCATTGCAGACATGGACACACATCTGGGTCATCTGCAAAGGTGTTAAAGGAAAGCACTGGAGCCTGGCACATAGTGAACACTTACAAGCTTCTGGATCTGGGCTTCCTGGGCAACCACAACATCCCTGCTCTGGCTCAGCTGCTCCTCAGTGGCCTGTAGGCTTTGCTCTAGATCCTTCACCTAAGGGGAAACAGAAACAATCTTTCTATTTACAAGAAGCATGACTTAAAATTAGAAACAAGATGTAGCTGCACACACTTGTAAACAGCACTCAGCAGGTGGAGGCAGAAGATCACAAGTTCTAAGCTATCCTTTCTTACATTATGAGTCTGAAGCTAGCCTAGGCTACAGGAGATGGTGTGAGTGTATGTGCACATGCACACAAGCCAGCAATAGGTATCATATAAAAATGGCATATGCCTTTAATCTCAGCAGAAGGAGGTAGAGTTGGAGGCCAACCAGGAAGTTCTAGGTCAGCCAGGGCTACACAGTGCCTTCCAACCAGGTTATTTCCATCACAGCCAATACAGGAGTGAGGTCATACCTGAGTCTCCAGGAGATCAATGGCCTTGGTGTGGCTGTTCCTGGCAGCCAAGAGCTGCTGCCTAGTATCTTCTAGATTCTGTTCGGCAACTGTTCTCTGTAAGTTAAAAGAAAGTAAGAGAAAGTTGTGAAAGTTGTTTCTACATTTAGTGAGTATTTATTGATACTAGGCATTGGAGACACAAATAGATAAAGCTACTTCAAATATAGAGGACATACAAATTTGGCACAGTCCTTGTTTCCTAAGCTGGGACAAATGACTAACAACAAAAGCATACACTAGAAGCTGGGTGCATTTATTTAATCTCAGCACTCAGGGGGCAGAAGCAGGCAGTTATCTGAGTCTGAGGACTGCTAAGGCCACATAAACTTTTTTTTTTGTAAAAAAAAAAAAAAAATGGGGTTCCTGTGTTCACAGAACTAAAGCTCCCCCAAAGAGAACTACAGCTCCTCAGAAGCCAAGTGATGATGGACTTAGGTCAATAAAGCAGACTGTGACACTGGGCAAAAGGGTCAGATGATGAGGAACTCTTTAGTGCTGCCAAAGTTTTATTTTATTTGCAGGCAGAAGTTTTTCAAACAGATCTTTCAAAACCTGGCATTAGCTTTATTGGGAAGGCTGGCTAAATGTGAGACCTTACTCTAGACATGTTCATGTCAGCATTTCTGAGAAAAGGACTAGAGATATATGCTTTAAACAAACTCCCAAGTAATTCCCATTCACTCTTTAATAGTTGATTATGGAACAACTATTTCATTAACTATTTATGAACTATTTCATGATTTCATTAAGTTTGACAGAATACAAACCCAATTTTATAGAGAAGACAGTACAAAGAGATTAAGTGACTTGCTTTAAGTCACAATGACTAAACACAAGATACAAACACAGATGTTTGCCTCTAGAAACCAACTTACACATTAGAATCCATGTTATACTTAATGTAGATGTTTAAGGGAATTGTGGAAGATGTTCAAGGGAGTGAATATGCTCAGAAATACAGTTTGGGAAGATTAGTTTTATAGGAGTGATAAAGGTGAAGGAGAGACAGGTGCTGGGTGGCCAGCCTGGAGACATCAATGCACCTTCAGTTAGTGATGGACCACTGCAGTGGCTGGAGAGAAGCTCAGCTTGATAGACAGTGGAGTCTACTCTAGGATAAGCTCAAGGCTCATGGCTTTGTCAACTTTGTCATGATGAGGCCAATCACTGGGCTACAAAGAGGAGAGAAAGTTTACTATGGCATAAGGTCAGTCTGTTGAACAGCTCCCCCAGCCAAGGAAAACCTATGATTCGAGGTAGTTCTTGATTAAACTAAAGTATTTGACGATAATTTTCCTTCTCAGAGAGAGAGAGAGAGAGAGAGAAAGAGAGAGAGAGAGAGACGAAAGAGATGAGAGAGAGAGATGAGAGAGAGAGAGAGAGAGAGAGAGAGAGAGAGAGAGAGAACACAAAAGGGAGCAGTGTAACAAGACAAGACAGTCTGGGTACATCAGTCATCATATAGCTGTGCAAACAAAAGCTCTCCTCTTCTCTGAGAAACATACAGGAGACACATGCTTGGCTTTTGTTTTGAGACAGGGTCTCCTGTAGCCTAGGCTACCCTCAAACTCACCATGTAGGATGACCCTAAATTTCCTGATTCATTTGCTTTGACCTTCTAAATTCTGGAATTACACCTGGTTTATGCAGTGCTGGGGACTGAATCCAGGACTTTTTTTTTTTTTGGAGACAGGGTTTCTCTGTGTAGCCCTGGCTGTCCTGGAACTCACTCTGTATACCAGGCTGGCCTCAAATTCAGAGATGCACTTGCCTCTGCCTCTGGAGTGCTGGGATTAATGGTGTGTGCAACCAAAGTTGCAGGGAACTGTCATCTAACCCTTCAGATCAGAAACTCAGAACATATGCAACATCTGGCATCACCATGCCTTTTTAATATTGGCCAGCATGTGTGGACATTACCTTTTTTTTTTTTTGGATTTTCGAGAAAGGGTTTCTCTGTGTAGCTTTGGAACCTATCCTGGCACTCGCTCTGGAGACCAGGCTGGCCTCGAACTCACAGAGATCCGCCTGTGCTGGGATTAAAGGCGTGCGCCACCAACGCCCGGCCGGACATTACCTCTTTCAAGAGTTCTTGTACATGATCTTCTCCGGATAAATTCTGTTCTAATGCCTTTTCCAAGGATATAAGCTTCTCTTGCAAATGTGTGATGATTTTTTCTTTCTCTTGAGTTTCAGCAGTGGCCTGCAAGGGAAAGCAGAGCCCTCCTTAAGTCCTCTTTAGACCATCAGCCCTCTTACCTCTCTTCCCTGCCCTGTTTTGTCATCATGCTTCTCTGAAATCCTGTGCTCAATCACATCACAGAAAAACATGCAACTAAGAAAGCTTTCCTGAAAATGGGGGCAGAGATGCCATATGTGAACCAGCAACATTAAAGGAGGAGACCTACCACAAGAAGCAAGCACCAGATGAGACCAAGTGAATCAAGAAGCAAGCATGATCACTTTAAACACCCAATAATCTGGGAAGAAAAAAAACTAATCACTCTCCTGGTAGAGGGAGCAAGACCAATCCCATTGAAGAAGTTCCCTGAAATGATCTTTGGAATTGCATTCCTAAGGCCTTAGATTCAATCCCTAGCACTGACAATAAACAAATACCCCAAACCAGAAAGCCATAATGTTTGTTCTTGGAAATTCAAGAGCTAGGTACAACAGGGACAAAGCTGAGATAATTCGAAAGGCCAACAAGAGAACTTCTGAAACAAATGATAGGAACTAACAGGGCCACTGTGAGTCTCACAGCTTGGCATAAGAACAACAGTGCCCACTTCAGCTTGACATTCTGTCAATGAATGGAATGATGATGGTGACAGAATGAGAGTTGATTCCTTTCATCACCAACAATCACCAAATGCTGCTCGATGTCAGATCTGAGAATCCAGGAAGTACTGAATACACAGCACTCAGCTCTGTAGTGGAGCTTCCTCCACTGAGGATGCCCCCTTTTTTTTTTTTTTTGGTTTTTCAAGACAGGGTTTCTCTGTGGCTTTGGAGGCTGTCCTGGAACTAGCTCTTGTAGACCAGGCTTGTCTCGAACTCACAGAGATCCACCTGCCTCTGCCTCCCGAGTGTGGAACTAAAGGTGTGCGCCACCAACCCCCGGCTGAAGATACCCATTCTTTTCTCGAAGTAAAGTGCAGGGCATCAGGCTTTCACAAAGGGGTGTACACCCCTCACATTCATTCTGCTCCCTTACATTCCCTGTTTATACTTCCATTGCTCCAGTTCAAGCCACAGACATGTTCAACCTGGGTCAATCTCTCCTCAGGAAGATGCAGCTCTGAATACAAGTTTTGGAAAAGTATTTGTCATTCTCAACTGTTACCAGTGAAAGCAAGATTGAGCAGGAAGACTCTGAAGAATGGATGCACAACCACATAATTTAAAAACTTTCGTCAGGCCTAAACATTATCTGTTGTCTTCCAAGAATATACAGGTTCTGACCCACAGAAGTAAGAAGTCTGCTCTCTGGAAGTAGAGACGGATACCTAGTCATATAAGAAACTGTAATGTAACATACTCATCCTGTAAGACAGTGATATACAAAGTGCTTGAGAAAGCAAAGGTAGTAGGGATCAACTATTTGAGATGTTTGGTGGTGTACTGTCTATGATCTAATAAAGCTTGCCTGGAGATCAGAGCGCAAAGCTAGACAGACCCATAGAAACTGGATAGTGGTGGCACATACCTTTAATCCCAGGACTCAGGAGACAGAGGCAGATGGATCTCTGTGAGTTCAAGGTCACCTATTTAGGGCTACATAAGAGTGAACTAGTCTAAAAGACAAATAGAGTTCATGCCTTTAATCCCAGCACTAAAGAGGTATATAAGATAGGAGCAGGGTCTCAGAGCTGGCATTCATTCTCCAGCCATGTTGAGGACAGAAAGGCAATTAGTCTCCAGTCATGTTGAGGATTTGTGAAGCCAGATCACCCCAGTCTGAGAAGAGTTGGCTGCTTTGCTTTTTCTGATCTTCAGCTTGACATCTGTCTTTGGGTTTTTATTATTTGTGCTACAGAGATGCTCAGACTAGGCCTCCCAAACAGGCATGTTCAGGTGCACAGAGGCAGGAGAGGAAAGAATTGTGGGTAGAGAGCAGCACAAAGGTTTGTCAAGTTGATGCAATTTAAAATCATGCTGGAATAGAACTTCAATGAGGGATCATCTGCATCAGGTTGGTCTGTGGGCATGTTTGAGGGGGACTGTCTTGATTATACTAACTGATATAGGAAAACCCAGCCCAGTCCTTGGCTTTAGGTCTCGGGCTATGTAAGTATGGAGAAGGGGCTGAGCACAAGTGAACATGCATGCATTATTTCTTTTTTCTGTGGACTGTGAATATAATGGTCTGCCACCTTCTCTTCCCCTCAATAACAGACTATGTGGTAGATTGAATAAAGATGTCTGATGGGCGGTGGTGGTGCACGCCTTTAATCCCAGCATTCAGGAGGCAGAGGCAGGTGGATCTCTGTGAGTTTGAGGTCAGCCTGGTCTACAGAACAAGTTCCAGGACAGGCTCCAAAGCTGCACAGAAAACCCTTGTCTTGAAAACAAACAACAAAATGTCTCCCACAGGCTCATATATTTGAATGCTTATTCATCAGGAAAGTAGAATTATGTGAAAGGACAAGAACCTCCACAACAGACCCTGTCTCCAAAAACAAATAAAAATGGATTTGTGTTTTTTTTTCCCCCTTCTTTTAAGAAAGAAAAAGAGAGGGGAGTGGGAGGAGAGAAGGGAGGGGGAACTGGGATTGGAATGCAAAAATAAATTAAAAAATAAATAAATTAATCTAAAAAGAAAAAGAAAAAGAAGGCTAGCAGGGTGGTGAGGAAAGGAGACTTGAGTAATGTGGCTATTCCCTGCCACCCAGAGGCGCTGGATGCTCTCCTCTCTTGGGTGGTGGTCAGAGCCCTAATAGCATCCAGCACCTCCAGGGCAGAAGACCAAGGCAGCTCTTTACCTTCATTGTGTGAGTGCTCCCCAAATAAATACTTGATACTCGTTTTATCTGGGTGTTCGTGAACTTCCTTACTCTGCCCTAACTGAACCCACAAGACTCTGTTGGAAACTCATCAAGGAGTGCTGGGGCACAGAGACAGAAGCCGCCCAATTGTACTTCCTTCTTACCCAGGTAATATTATTTTCCTTCTCAGGTCTTTGATGAAGTTAAAGACTAGATAGTCACTGCTATTTATCCTCTCGTATCTTACCTAGGGCATATTAGGTATAAGACTTGAAACTTTCCAGGATAGGACAGCAACTAGAGTGATCTGTGTAATATGGCCTAAACATTTAGTATGTATTTCTTGCTTGATGTTGATCTTGCTGGTTGTGGGTCTAAATTCGTGTATGTATGTTTTTACCTTTCTTTCTCCTGGACAATACTTGATATCTGTTATTATTGTATACAGGTTTTTTTTTTTGTGTGTGTGTGTGTCGTTAAAACCCTCTTATTTAGACAAAAAGGCGAAGTATAGTGGGAATCCATTCCACCAATAGTTTGGGGGTACCAGCCTTAGGGTGTGGCTTCGGTGTGCGGACACGATCCCTTATAAGAAAGAGAAGGGTTCTGTCTGGCTCTCTCTCTTGGGTGGAGGTTGGAGACCTGAGAGCAGCATCCTGTGCCTCCAGGGCAGAAGACCAAGGTAGCTCTTTACCTTCATTATGTGAGTGCTCCCCAAATAAACATTTGATATTCTTTTTATCCAGGCATTTGTGAACTTCCTTGCTCCACAGGTCAGAGCATCTGGAGGTTCATCTCCTCCAGGATCTGTCACAGCCACTAGGACAAGGGCAAAGGGAAGAATTTGCCATTTTCGGAGGAAGACAACAGGTGGTTGCTGGCTATGAGGATAATGTACTTTGGATCTGGATTTGCTATATGTTTCTTTATAGTAAGGCACCAGCTAATTAAGAAATAAGGATGCTTCTTAATTCATCCCTTTAACAGACATGAAGAATGTTTATAACTGAAAAATGGAGCAAGTTCTGGAATGCTTACACTAGATAAGACTGTAAATAAACTAATGACAGAAAACAGAGAGGGAAAGAGAAAGTGAAAGTGAAAGAAAAATAGAAAAATAGAGAACATGAAGTTGAGCAGGTAGGGAGGGGTGGGGGAATCTGTGAGGAGATGGAGAGGGGAAAAACATGAGCAAAATATATTGGAAGTGGCTAGAGAGATGATTCAGCAGTTAAAGGCAATGGCTGTTCCTCCAGAGGTCCTAAGTTCAATTCCCAGCAACCACATGGTAGCTCACAACCATCTATAATGGGATATGACACAGTCTCCTGCTGTGCAGATGTACATGCAGACAAAGCACTTATATACATAAGATACACAAATAACCTTTAAAATACCTATAGTATGGAAAAAAGAGCAAGACAGAATAGTCCTTCAGGGCTGAATGAGATGGCCCAGCAGGTTAAGGCACATACCAGCAAGCCTTATGACCTAGTTTGATTCTTAGGACCTACATAGCAGAGGGAGAGAACTCACTACTGTGGGCTGACTTTATTTATATAAATAAATTAATTTATTTTTGAGACAGGGTTTCTCTGTGTAGCTTTGGAATCTGTCCTGGAGCTAGCTATGTAAATCAGGCTGGCCTTGAACACACAGAGATCCTCTAGTCTCTGCCTCCCAAGTGCTGGGCTTAAAGGTGTGCACCACCATGGCCCAGCAAACTATTTTTATTTTATTTGCATTGGTGTTTTGCTAGCATGTATGTCTGTGTGAGGGTGTCAAGATCTTGGTGTTATAGACAGTTGTTAGCTACCATGTGGATGCTGGGAATTGAACCTGGGTCCTCTGCAAGAGCAGCCAGTGCTCTTAACCATGGAGCCTGTGGATTGACTACTAATCTATACACATACACTAAATAAAATGTAAAAAATAATGAATAGTCTTTTATACTTAGTTACTATTGTTCATCTATCTGTTCTCAGAATTTAACAGAGGCCTATAGTTTTTGCCTACTGGGCAATAAAATGTCTTTCAACAAAATGAGAAAGAAAACTAAAACATGATTTAAGTCCTAGTATAACTGAAGCCATGTCAGTGACTGTTACATTTTCTTCTACTGTGGATTTACTAGGTGGTACTTGAAGACGTAATACTAATCTTCTTTAATGTGATAGGGACTGAACTCAGAACCTTATGCTGAGCAAGTGCTCTATAGCAGCACTATACTTCTACGCCCATAAGACATGGGTAGAACAAACAAATGACACATTTCATATGGGTACAATGAATGAGTGGCACAAGCTTTTAATCTCAGTTATTTGGGAGACTGAGATTGGAGAATTCTAAATTCTAAATCATTCTAGCAACTTAGACCATCAATCAAAAACAAAGCAAAACAAATAAATATTATGCTTTGAGAATTCCTGTTGGAATGCTATTTTATTTTATTTTTTTAACCTCTTCCACTTCTCTAAAAAGAAAGAAAGAAAGAAAATAAAAAGAATATATAAAAATTGGTGGTTTTACATTGTTTTCAAAGCCAGCCTCTGATGGGGGAAGTACTTCTGTGTATGTTTATCTTATTGATTGTTAAATAAAATACTGTTTGGCCAATGAGACAGCAAGTTAGACAGGACTAGGAGTCAAAGAGGATTCTGGGAAATGTAGTAGAGAAGTGGTGATCCAGGCAGGAAGTGACATAGCAGGGAGACTCATATTTAGCAAGGAAAACGGGAAGTATCCCCCTTTCCCCTCCGTTATTCCTCAAGTGGATCAATGTGATCCACCGGCAAGGAGGGATGCCAATAAGGTGTCCGATAAAATAAGTCTTATAAAATATATAGATGTATGATAATTGAGACTTAGCTAACAGATGAGAATCCTAGTCATTGGCCAAGCAGCATTGTACCTAATACAAGTTTCTGTGTATTAATTTGGGTCCTAACTCGGGCAGGCAGCTGGCATAAAGCGCACATGTGGCAGTGGGGCCTGGCGACTTTTGGCGGAAAGATTTATCGTAACAAGCCTCAAATGTCTAGGTCCAGTAAACCTGTGCTAGGTTCTAAAGTCTGTGGACTACAGGTATGTGCCACCACACCTGGAAATACTATCTTTTCTGTTGAGCAACCTGGGTAACTGAGTAGCTGCTTCACATGAGTGCAGCCTGGCTAGACCAGGAAGTAGAACACTTGGTTCACACAAGAAATACACACTCCAGCAGAAGGATATTTCTATTCATGCTCCTGTGCTTACCTTTTGCAAATCAATGGAAAGCTGCTGAATGAATGCTTGCAGTTCTTGTTCCTTTTGTTCCAGGACTACGATCTTATGTTCTGCAAATGCTTTTGAAGACATCATGCGATTTCTTCATTGAAAGAAAGCAGAAAATGAGTAAATTTGGTTATTTCCTATATGACACACTCTCCAAAAGAAGAATGCACATGACTCCTTACATTTCAGGGTGCAAGTGTTATTATAGCACACTGTTTATCTTTGTGAAAAAGCTCCTTGGCTTTTGGACGCACAAGTAGGAAGACCACCACGGTCTAAGTAAGGAATCCTGATTAGTCTGAGTACTAAATAACATTACAGCTCAAATCAGATTATTGTTATGCAGGATTGGAATAGACTTGTGCCTATCCAGGTGAGGGGAGAGCCAGTGCTGGGATAGTTTGGAGGACCCTAGGCATGTAAGGACAAATCCAGAAGCCTTTGCCAGCACTAAGATCAGAAAGTGTTATGATAAGCACTGGGGACATGTGGGTAGACTACAGCAATGCTACACCAGCACACCTCTCAAGGTCCCCACAAACCAAGCAACAACCTCTGTTCTTCCAGCGTTGAGCAGTGTCTCTGCAATTCTTCTATCCGCTGGTTTAAGTCAGATGACATCTGATTAGAAGTTACCAACTCCTCCTGAGTGCGATTCAGCTCTCTGGTTCGTGCTTCCAATTCTTGCTCCATTTTTCCTAAGGTTTCTTCTTTTTTTAAAAGCTGATAAGAAGACATAATGTCCCATTAGGCCACCATAAGAAACACAATTTGAGTAGATGATCAGACCACTGAGATGGTTCAGTGGGTATAGGAACTTGCTGCACAAGCTTAACCACCTGAATTCAATCCCCAGATCCCATGATGCAAAGAGAGAATGGACTCCTCAAAGTTGCCCTCTGACCTCCACATACACGCTGTGGCATAGGTATAACCTTGCCTGCCCCCCACTAACCCCCATACCCCCACATAGAGAAAAAAAAAGACATTTCTGGAGGATAAGAATTGGGCTTAATGTGTAGCACTTACACAGATAGAAGGTAAAAAAAAAAGATACATTTCAAATAGAACTTTTCCAATTAAAAAAATTTATCTGAAAACACTGCAATGTGGTTAGTATGAGGGCGTTTATAGTCATGAATGTGATGACCTCTTGAGGCATAAGGACTCATTGCTTCATGGTACTATTACTGAGCTTCTGAAATAGAAACACCTACCATGTGCTTTACTTTGCTGATTTCCTGTTGCTGGAACCCCTCTAGTTCATCAATTTCATCTCTCTTTTGAAAAAGGCTCAGGCTCTGCTTCTTCATTTCCTGCAGCTGAGTTGTCAGAAACCTTTTATCCTGTTTGCAAGAAGACACCAACTTAGGCAACCCAAGTATTAGAAATCAGTATTGTACAAGCAGAACATTTAAATTAGTTTTTAAATTGAGTGTCTGCAGATACATGCGTACATGCCATAACACATGTGATAACTTGTAAGTTCCAGGGATCAAACTCAGGTAGACAGACTTGGCCACAAGAGCCTTTCCCCATCTCTCCAGCCCCCCTGACATTATTTGAGACAGGCTTTGCTATGTAGCAACTATTTGCCTATGAAGCCCAGGAAACAATGGTCCCAGCATAATCATCTCATCTCTGTCTAGTCAAGTGGCTCTCTTACCTTCTCAGTGCTAAGCCTTGAAAAATGTTCTGTTTTCCCCTGTTTTGTTAGGCAGCATTCCCAATGTGACTACAGGGCCAATCAGGGCCCACCCCAGAAGCAGAAAACAGAGTCAATTTAGGGACTTTGAGAATGGTTTAATAAAAGGACTTATCAATGTTGTGAGAACAGATACCTATAGAAGTAATATAGTAGTAACTGCTGGCAAAGGGCACTAAAAGGAGGGAGCAATTATGAGAAAAACCATCTCAGAATGGACCATCTGAACCAATAGGCCAATGGAAGCTTAAATTTTTGACCATTGGATAAAGAAAATCCAAGGAACCCCATGTTGATAAAATTGAGAAATAAACATCTGAATTATACTCTTTCCAAGGTGTTCTCAAGTGGCCACTAAAAGCCAGAAGGTACCAAGCCCAGGTGATGCAGCAGCTATCAGCCTTCTGGTACATAAGGAAAGGATTGAGGGTAGAGAAAGAATATAGCAGGAAGGGTAACAAAGGATACCTAACCATCATGTCCACTAAGGAAGCATAAGAGGAAGGCTGTTGAAGTCAGTCCAATTACCCAGTGTCCTGCTTCCAGGAGGTACTATCACAACCAGTACTGTGAGCCAGTACTCCTACCCCCTCTCTTTCCTTCTGCTTTTCTGGGATTGAAACTAGAACCTTCCATAGAAATAGTCTATTATGCATCTTTAGCTCTCTAAAGACATATGGCTGTTCTTAACAATTGAATGAACAAATGAATCTGACTTGTTGAACTGAAAAGGTTACATTCTATGTCAATTGCCAATGATGGAACACATAGGGAAAGCCCCTAAACTTTGAATCCTGATTGATGGAAAAATGTAACTGTAAGTTGGCACTGTTGTTTGTGGGCTTTTGTGTTTAAATATTTGCTGCAATGAGTGTCTGGTAACGCAGTCAGTTCCTGAGTCTATGCTGTGGTCGCTCCTTTTTAATTTTCCTTCTTGCAAAACAAAACAAACAAACAAAAAAGAAACTAGAACCTCAGACATGCTAGGCAGGCACTCTACTACTAAGCTATATGCTCAGTTCTTTTTTAACTTTTCTTTTTTTCACAATATGTGAGATTTGTTTGTATTCATGTTTATTATTTGTGTGTGTATGTATGTTTGTGTGAATGTGGACACAGGCGTGCCATGATATATATGTTTGGATCAGAGAACAACTTGTGGTGATGGTTCTCTCCTTTCACCATGTGGGTTCTAGAGATTGAACTTAGGCTTATCAGGCTTGTCAGCAAGCACCTTTACATGCTGAGCCATCTTGCTAGTTCCTACTTCTAATTTTAAAAGAATTATGGTGACTGACTCAGTGGTTAAGAGCTCTTTGTACTATTCTGGAGGAGCCACTTTGTTTCCCAGTACCCATGGCAAACAGCTCACAACTAACTCTGACTCCAGCTCCAGGGGGGGCCAATGCTTCTGGCCTCCATGGTATGTAGTCACAGAGACACACATAATATATGTGATTTTAACAATCAATCTTTTTTTTTTTTTAAATAAGCTTTTTAAAAACTATTTACTTACTTTACCTCTGAGTCATCTCTCCAGTTCCTCTTTTTACCAAGTGGTTTGGGGTGGTCTTGAATGTACTCTGTAGTCAGGGCAGGCCTTGACCTTGCAATCCTCCTCCTTCAGTCTACCAAGTACCAGGGTTACATGCCTTTACTAACTAAGCCTGGCTGCAGAACACATTTCGTAAGCCCCAGAGATAATGCTAGTAAGCACACAACAAAGATGACTAACCTTTTCAAGCTGGTCCATCTTTTCTGACCATTCCTAGAACAAAACAAGAGAAGTACAGTTTCCAGGGAGGAAAATCTACAGTATTAAGATTCTCAGAAAACAACTTGCTCCTAAAAGCTATCAATCAACCAAAAAGGGGAATGATAAACAGTAACACAAAAGCAAATATATATCCATAAAGTTGGTTAAGAAAGCTAAATGTCCTAAAAGAAAAGGAAAGTGCACTTTACATAAAATTCTAGAACACAGTGTAGCCTGCAGGTGTCCACAATTCATCAGAGTCACCCAAGAATGTTCTATTACTTCCTGAGAGTGGGCAGTTAAGAATCTACTGAGTTGGGCCACACGACTGATATTTAGACATCAGCTTACTGAAAGTCTAGTGGAGCATGACCAACAAACAGTATTTGGTAATAATCTGCTCCCTTGGCTTTATTCTCTGGTGTATGAAAAAGGAGAGGGGGAATTACACTACTTATTCACAAACTACAGAATACAAAGAAAAGAACATTGGTATGAAAGGCCCAATAGCTGCTCATCAAAATATACTACTTTTAAATTGGTTTCTTATATTTACATACACTCAAACCACAGATATCTATTGGGTAGCTGTAAGTGATACTTTTATATTTATACTCTAAAATAAATAAATAATTTGTCTATAGGATTACCACTATAAAACACTGATGCTTACCCTAATTTAAAACACTACTGACTAGCTGGGCATTGGTGGCTCATGCCTTTAATCTCAATACTCAGGAGGCAGAGGCAGGAGGGTCTCTGAATTTGAGGCCAGCCTGGTCTACAGAGTGAGTTCCAGGACAGTTAGGGCTACACAGAGAAACCCTGCTTCAAAAACAAGCAAACATACAAACAAACCAAAAGAAACCTAGTAACAATCATAAAAACAAACACTACTAAATATATCAAACAAAGCACACCCCATAGTTACTATAATATTATTTTTCCCTTTTACATTTTTTTTGTCTTGCCAAGCGTTGGTGGCCCACACCTTTAATCCCAGCACTCGGGAGGCAAATATAGGCAGATCTCTGTGAGTTCAAGGTCAGCCTGGTCTACAGAGCGAGTTCCAGGACAGCCTCCAAAACAATACAGAGAAACCCTGTCTCGAAAAACCAAAAAACCAACCAAACAAAACCCCCCTCCAAACCCATTTTTTGGTTTTAATTTATTATTATTTTTCCTTTCTTTGGAGACAGGGTTCATATAGTCCATCCAGGCTGACCTTGAACACCTGATCCTCCTGCATGTACCCAGGTATTGGATTATAGGCGTGCATCACACCTGTCTTACTTGACCTTTTGTCATTCATTTTTGTGTCTCTCAGTAGCTGTTTCTATGGAAAACAAGAATTCCCTTCTGTCTACACTTGGTTTGGGAGAAGGGGTCGGAAGGGCTATGTGAACAGTGTGATGGTGTCTTACACTGGAAGAGGCAGGTGTTTGTAGGTGTAGGTTTGAGGACAACTTTTCAGAGGGTGAGACCCTTTTAGTTATTTGTAGGGTCACTAGTAGATTATGGACATACCAGTTCCTGTCTCTATTTTGCAAAGATGCACATAGAGAGAATAATTCTGGACACATTTTCATGATTAAACCGTGAAGTCTGACTTTATAAGAAAAAGTCAAATGAGTTTTTAAAGAACTTATATTAGGGGCTGGAGAGATGGCTCAGCAATTGAAAGCACTAACTGCCCTTCCAGAGTACTTGGGTTCAATTCCCACATGGTAGCTCACAGCTATCTGTAACCCCAGTTCCAAGAGATCTGGCACCCCCACACAGACATACACAAAGGTAAAACACCAACACACATAAAAGTAGATAAACCTTAAAAAAAAAGGAAAAAAAATTATGTTTATTCCCTTCCTTCTAAAGGTTGTAAAGACTTTTACTAGGTCTGCATCATGATTTTTAAGTCAAGTCCCTAAAATGAAATCTTTTCCTAGCGTTGGGTAGTAGCACATATAAAATACCTGGTCCTTCCTGGCTAATGCCAAAGCGAGTTCTTCTGCCATTTTGGCTCTGTTGGCTTGGAATGTCTCATTCTGCTCTTGAAATTTCCGCATGGAAGCTGTTGATAAAGAGGTACTATTTGAGATACAGAAATACTTCAGACACAGCAGGACAAACAGCCCATGTGAGTAGTTTACAAATGCTACCAAATGAAAAAGGCAAGGTCATAGAAATGGATGGAGAAACTGTCCTGGTGAGATGAGTTTAATTTTCTGTCTGGGTCCTTACTTTTGCCTTCTGTAGTAGTGAAGACATCACACAGTAGGTGGGCAGAAACATCACCTACTATGGTTGCTGTGAAGTAACAGCTAACACTTCTTCATCAGAATTGAAAAACAAAATAAAAAAACTAGCAACAAAATAACAAAACAAAAGCATTCTTTAGTTTTCTTTCTTCTTCCTGTAGCATCTTCCTTGGATGACAATACTCAAGGAAAACACGAGTTGGAATAGGTTAGGGTAATTTATCAAAACATATTTCCATTCTATTGTTCATATAGTGGTGTCAGAACTTTCCAAAAGTTAGTCAATATAACAATAATGAAACTACAATGAGAATATTCTCCTAGGTTAGACTCAAGGGCCAACTGCTAGACTGTACCAAAATCTAAGGACAATTAGTAAGCAATGATCCCCTCTTAGAAGTATGCCCCCAAAGCAACAGATATACACTTATACTTGATAACTTTCAGTCAAACATCATATCAATCTGATGAGGAACACTATAAAATAGAGATATGAGTTCTGATAGACACATGCAACAATATACTAATTCATTTAAAAAGCTAAAGCCTGAAAAGATTAAAGAAAGCAGGAAAAAAAAATACGTACAATCTTGGTGTTTTTCTAATGCAATTTCAAGCTTCTCTTTTATCTTCTGCAAGTTTCGGACCTGTTCAGCATAGTCTTGGGTGAGGAGGGTGATGCACATACCAAGAGTGGACAAATATTAGGAAAGGAAGTTAATTAAACAAACAAAAAAACGAATGAAAATGATGATGATTTTCTTAACTTGAAAAACCAGTCCTTTTAAGGAAAGCTAGGTAGAAAGCCTCCATTAACAATGAATGACATAGGCAAACGGAATAGCACAAACTTTCCATGGTATAAACAGTGAGTACAAACAGGTAGATCCATTTAACCCTGACAGAGAAGAACAATTATGCCAGGGCTGGTCATCAGAAGTTTCCTGCTTTTTGAAAAACCCACCATCATCATTACACTCATTTCTAAGTCTCAGTATTCCTGTGCTGGTTTGCCCCATATTTGAATGCTTAGTCATCAGGGAGTGGCACTATCTGAGAAGGATTAGAAGGATTGGGAGGTGTGGCCTTGTTGGAGGAAATGTGTTTTATAAGAACTGCCTTAGTCATGGTGTCTCTTCACAGCAATAGAAAGGTGACTAAGACAGTTCCCACTTCCTGTTGCCCTTAGTTATATGGCAGATCAAGGGTATTCACTAAAAACTCACTCGCAGACCATACAGCTGAGCAGCAGTGGCTAGTTAAACAGCAAGCATCTTAGCATTGAACTGCCTGCCTTTATGGTTCAGATGCTTAATTCTCTAGACAAGTGTGCTCCCTTTCTATAGGAACTGAGTGACATATATCACCTCAAAGGTGAAAGAATTACTTGGGGAGCCAAAGAAAATAGTTATGATATAGTATAAAAGTAGAAGCAGTTCAAATTCCAATTCTCTCAGTTCTTTGTTAAGGGTCTTAAGTAAAATACTGATCTGGAATATTAGTCTCTTCATATGTTAACTGATAATAATCACATCTATTTCTCTCTCTCTGAGACACTTTCTCTATTTAGTTCTGGCTGTCCTAGAACTTCCTTTGTAGACCAGGCTGGCCTCAAACTCAGAGATCCACCTGCCTATGCCTCCAAAGTGCTGGGATTAAATGTGTGTACCTGTAACATAATAAAAATCCACAGACAGATACTGGGTTCAAGCTGAAAATCAGAAAAGCAAGGCAGCCAGCCACTAGCTTTTACCTCTACCTCAGACCAGAATGGTGACCTGTCTCCACGAATCCTCAGAATGCAATCCAGACTGCACTGCTCTCCTCCAAGCCTCAGATTGCAGTTCTTGTCTCCTCCTGCCTTATATTCCTCTCTCCGCCCAGTCTCCTGTCTCCACTTCCCTAGTGCTGAGATTAAAGGCATGTCATCCCAAGTGCTGAGATCACCTCTGTGTGAGCTGTTTCTCTTTTAGACTGGATCAATTTTGTGTCGCTCAATGTGGCCTTGAACTAACACAGATCTGTCTGCTTCTGTCTCCCTAGTCCTGGGATTAAGGTGTGACCACCACCTGACTGGTATGGCCAGCTAGTTTGGCTGCTGGGATGTATCACCACTGCCTGGCTCTATGGCTGTGGCTAGCTTTGCATTTTGATCTCCAGTGGCTTCATTAAATCACAAATAATAAATCATCACATTTGCCTAATTACATGCCTGGACTAATCACATCTATTTCAAAGGAATCATTAAAGTAATTTGTATGCATTAAATGCTTGGCACAGTGATGAATAAAGCATAGCCACCATTGTTATTACTCATAGGAAGCCAGTGACAATTCCTAATATGTGAAATGGCTGATAAATGTCAACTCTCTCAAAGTATCCTCGCCATCATTAAGCCAAGCCCAACTACTCTCCTTTCTTTATTGGGATAAGCACACTACAAGTAGTTTCCCAAAATTAAGCAACAGTTATTTCACTTCTGTTACTGGTGTTTATAGATATACAGACAGAACAACTGACTTTATGTATAGGTGCACAAGAGAGTAACAGCTAACTTCAGCAGACTATTTGAAGCTAGGTCCAAATCTTAGTTTGAATCCCAGCTCTCTCACTACCTGTGTACCTTATCTTGCTGACCCTAACAAGCTGATCCTGAAGACAAAGCTACAGTGTGAACAATGCTTTGGACCCTTGATAGCTAAACAAACCTATTTCACATACAATCCAGTGAGTTTTGGTTTACTGTTTTTACCCCAATAAAACCGGCATAAGGTTCAGGAGCAAAAGGATACATATAAAGCATGGACCGTATCACAGGATGAAGCTATCAAAGTGTGTTCACTGTCAAAAACCAATATAAAAACTCAAAATTCTATCATGAACAGGCTTTGCTCAGGTAAAGGATATAAAGGGAGCTGTGTAGACTGTAAAGTGAACAGAGACTGTGGTAGCTTGCCCCAGCTGTGCATGATGGCCCACACCTTTAATCCCAGCTCTTGGGAGTTAGAGGCAAGTGGGTCTCTGTGAGTTTGAAGCCATCCTGGTTTACACAGCAAGTTCCTAGACTGTCACACAGAGAAACCCTGTGTCTCTGTCTCTCTCTCACACACACACAATGGCCCTTATAGACTCATATATTTGAATGCTTAGTCACCAAGGAATGGCTTTATTTGAGAGGGATTGGGAGGTATGGCCTTTCTGGACTAGGTGTGACCTTGTTGGAGGAGGTATGTCATTGGGGGTGTACTTTGAGAAGCCATCACGAGGCCCAGTGTCTTTCTTTGCTTTTGGATCAGGATGTAGTCCTCAGCTACTTCTCCAGCACCATACATACTTGCCATGATGCTAATGGACTTATCTCCTGAAACTGTAAATGAAGCCCCAATTAAATACTTTCTTTTTCGGAATTGCCTTGGTTATAGTGTCTCTTCACGGCCAATAGTACAGTGACTAGAGAGAGATTAAATGAGAATTACATCTAAATATAATTCTCCTAAAGAAGCAGGTATTAAAGTCAGGAAAAGCACTGGTAAGTGGCCCCAAGACCTGGAGCAAGAAGCCCATAGGTGATGTGAGCTACACCAAGTGGCAGTCCAACATCCACATCTGCTCATCATTCCCTACAGACAGTAGTCCCTTAACTTTTTCCACCTGAAAGTAAGCTATGCTAATGGTGGAACATGCAAATCTATTCTATACACACTTTTCTCAATTCTTCAGGCTGGGTGGTGGCACACGCCTTTAATCCCTGTACTTGGGAGGCAGAGGCAGGCGGGTATCTGTGACTTTGAGCCAGCCTGGTCTACAAGAGCTAGTTCCAGGGTAGTTACGGCTACACAGAGAAACCCTGTCTCCAAAAAAAAAAAAAGAGAAAAGAAAAAGAATTCTTCAAGAGAACTGGCTGCTCTTCCAGCACCCATATGCAGCTCACAACTATCCCTAACTCCAGTTCCAGAGCATCTGACACCTTCAAACTAATGCATGTAAAATAAACTGAAAAAAAAATTAAAAAAACAAAACTCTTCCAACTTCACTTTTTAAAATTTTGTATGCACATGCATGTATGTGAAGATCAGAGGATAACTTGCAGTAGTTGATTCTGTCCTTCCTCCAATTGGGTCCCAAGGATCAGACCCAGGGTGTCAAGCTTGGCAGCAGGTGCACTGATCCTACAAGTCTGTCCCACCTCCAGTATCCTGCTATGCAGGCTAGGCTGGCCTTAAACTTAGAATCCTCATGTTTCCCTAAGTACCGTTATTAAAAGCCTGCACCATCATACCAGCCTCCACAGGGACATTTAGTCATGGCTAGAAACATCAAATTCAGTATGAATTTACAATATTCAGTACACTAAAATAAAAAAAAAAATCAAGGTAACAAAGTGGGCATAGAATGCTCCTTTTTAAGGAGATCAAATGCTGTGTGGAAGTTACTATAGTTACCCTATAAAGCAGGCTTATAGAAGAGAAGGGTCATCTGTCTTATGTCTGCTATTTATGGCTTTGAAACACATACCAGAAAGTCTGGCCTCTAACTTCCGTATCTGTTCATTTCTTCTTAATAGCTGGGATGAGAGATCTTCTCTGGAGCTGCTTCCATCTGAAGCCTGTTGGACAGATGAAAGGAGAAATCACAAGGGTCTCCAGCCCTGTGAGACAGGACAAGCTAGAAAAGCAACACCTCATCTTATATTTGGTTACATTTTAATTGACTAATCACTAAAACTTTCCTAAAGTAACTGACCTTAGCTCCTTGGAAAGTGGAAGCAAAACTACCTTCCTCTGTGACAACAAGGGGACAGGGGCTGTTAAATATCAGTCATGTGCAGGTGTGGACTACTGAGAAAATGCAGACCTTTATGGAATAGTATGGAATAAAAACATTGCTTATGATTCTATTACACCAAGAATATAACGAAAAAAAGAAATCACTTTGTCTTCTAAAGATTAAGCTCCTGGAATAAAAGAAGAGAGGTTTAACGAAGAGCCAAAGTCTTGTACATGGCTAAGACTTTGTCCTATACTGATAAAGCTGCAGTATTCCCATTTATCAAACATTCATCCAATAGTTCAATATATGGATAACAATCCATTTCCCCTCCAACAGTCAATTACTTTAAAATTTATGGAAAGTTGGGTGTTGCACACCTTTGATCCCAGCACTGAGTTTAAGGCTAGCTAGCCTGGTCTACATAGGATATTCCAGAACACAGACACACACAAACACACACACGCACGCACGCACGCCAAACAAACTTACTTATGGGAAGCCAGGCATAGTGGCACAGGCCTTTAAACCTCACTGAAGAAGCAGAGGAGGTGTATCTCAGTTAGTGGCCAGCCCCCGGGGAACCTTGGTGAAATCTTGTCCTTAAAACAATGAAAAAGCCCCCAAACATAAACATTTATGAGCACCACTACTATTACTTTGGATATCACTTATTATTGCTAAGATATAACTTTCTTTTGGGGGGGGTGGTGTCTTTTTTATTTAATGATTTATTTTTTATTTTATGTGCACTGGTGACTTGTCTGCATGCATGTCTATGTGAGGCTGTTGAATCCCCTGGAACTAGAGTTATACAGTTGTGAACTGCCATGTGGGTGCTAGGAATTGCACCTGGGTCCTTTGGAAGAGCAGTCAGTGCTCTTAAGTATCAAGCCATCTCTCCAGCTCCAATTTCTTTTTTTACTGTTTTTGAGACAAGGTCTCATTCTGTAGTTCAGGCTTGTCTTGAACTTGGTTATATTATTGCCTCAGCGTCCTGAATCCTGGGATTACAGGAATAAGGCACCATGCCTAACTGTTATACTGACTCTCATTTTTTGTTTTTTACATTTATTTATTTGTTCGTATATGTGTGTGTACATTTGTGTGGAGTCAGAGGACAATTTGCAGGAGTTGGTTCTTGTCTACCAAATGTGTCCTGGGATCAAACTCATGTTGTCAGGCTTGGCAGCTTTTGTGTTTACCCACTAAGCCAATTGACCAGCTTGGATATACAGACTCTTACCATTTTATCACCACCACCACCACCACCACCACCACCACCACCACCACCACCACTTCTGATGAATTTCAGTGAGATGAAAGAAAGTAGGAGTGGGATGGTAAGCAAGACAAAAGCAAGCACGTAGGAAAATGTTGTAAGGAAATCTGCTAATTGGCAAGCTACTTACAAAATATTTTTTAAAAATTGGGGCTAGGAGATGATGGTTCAGTAGATAAAAGTGCTTGCTGTATAAAGATTCAGTTTGGATCCGCAGCACCCACACAAAGGCCAGCTATGGTAGTGCACTCCTATAACCCAGTACTGTGTTGCAGGGAGAAGACAGGCCTATAGCAAAATGGTGATCTCCTTGTTCATCGGGTAAAAGTGCTTGCCGGGAAAGCATGAGGGCTCAAGTTGAATTTCCCAGCACCTAGATAAAAAGCCAAGCATGCCTATATACCTGAACCCCAATTTTGGGGGAGGAAGGTGGAGGCAAGTGGATTCCAGGAACTCCCTGGCTAGCCTGCATAGCCCAAAGGGCCTTCTTACTGATTGAGAGACCCATTCTGAACGAAGTCAGAGAGCAAGAGGAAGATGACCAACGCCTTCCTCCTAGGCACCCACATGCATACACAAACACATACTACACCAAAAAAGGTAGGGATCAATAGAGGAAGATCCCCAAAGTTGATCTCTGGCCTACACATGTGCCTGCACAAGTGACTGTACCTGCATAGATATGTGCACATATGCACATACCACACACATGTGGAGGGAAACAAACAAAATTTAAATACTAAAACAAAATCATCTTTTTTTTTTTTTTTTTTTTTTTTTTTTTTTTTTTTTTGAGCAATTTTTTATTCCCTGTGTAGCCTAGTCTGGCCTTGAAAGGAAGATCTTCCTTCCTCACCCTCCCAAAAGCTAGGATTACAGGGTCACTCTGATGACACCTGAGTCTTTGCTTTTATTATACAAGTTTTCAAAAACAGCAAAGTAGGGAGAGTGGCCTAGAGGTCATTTCCCATTTGCCTCTCAAGTGCAGGGTTGTTTTTCTCACATTTGCTGCTTCAATTCTTATTCTGCCAAGGTTCAAATAATAGATGTAAGGACCTTTCATTCTGAACTCTAACACACATTTCTAAAGAATGGTATTTTTTTTACTTATGCAGAATTCTGTTACCACAGCAAACAAAATTTAAAACAATACTAATACCCAGTCTTTCATAATGTTTCCTCATTTTATCCCCAAGATGGTTTTATAGGTGGTTGAACAATTCACAAACCATTTTAAGCATTTATTTAACCTGTTCAGCTACTTGCCATTCAATATTTACTGGGAGTTAGTTTCTTTCTTTTTTCTTCTGGTACTGAGTAAACCTAGAAACCCAGGGCTTTAAAAAGAAATTCTGTTTAGGGATAGAATCTAGGGACCCACTTATGCTAGGAAAGTACTTTGCCAGTGAGCCTTAACCTGAGGCTCAGTATCCAGGAGGATAAGTCTGTAGAGTCACAGCACCTAGATTTAACCTATCTCACCACTTAGCTGCAAGAACCTGAGCTGATTACCCAACTGCCTTGTACACTGTCTTCCTCATGGGCAAACTGTGACAGTGACTATGACTGACCTCCAGAGCTGTATGAGGGTATACAAAGCTGCACTTGTCAGGCCACAAAACAGAAGCTGCCATACTCTTACTTCTTTTTTTTTTTTAATTTTATTTATTTATTATGTATAAAAAATTCTGCTTCCACACATATCTGCACACCAGCTGTACCAGAGCTCATAACGGATGGTTGCGAGCCACCATGTGGTTGCTGGGAATTGAACTCAGGACCTCTGGAAGAGCAGTCGGTGTTCCTAACCTCTGAGTCATCTCTCCAGCCCCTATACTCTTACTTCTTAAGTATCGTCTTCCACTAGCTGTCTTCTGTTTAGGCTGCTGTAACTGATACCATGAATGCATGTTTGTGCATTCATGGGACTTCTCAGTTCTGAAGTCTGAGAAGTCTAAGATCAAGGCCCAGGGATAGCTTAGTGTCTGGTTCACAGATGGGCACCTTTCAGCTGTAGCCTGCACGGTAGAGAAGAAAAGGCAGTGTCCAAAGCGTTTTATAAGGGCACTAACCCTAAATACCCAGGGCTCCTGACTTAATCCCCTCTCAAAGGTTCCACCCTCCTAATTCGAAAAAGTGTCGAATCGTGGGGGACATAAACATAACAGGTGGCAGCTGGGCGTTGGTGGCGCACATCTTTAATCCCAGCACTTGGGAGGCAGAGGCAAGCGGATCTCTGTGAGTTCGAGGCCAGCCTGGTCTCCAGAGCGAGTGCCAGGATAGGCTCCAAAGCTACACAGAGAAACCCTTGTCTCGAAAAAACTAAACCAAAACCAAACCAAACCAAACAAACAAAAAAAAACTCCCCCAAACAACAACAACAACAACAACAACAACAAAAAACATAACAGGTGGCTTTGATTATTACTGTCCAAAAAAAACTCCCCCAAACAACAACAACAACAAAAAACATAACAGGTGGCTTTGATTATTACTGTCAGTGAGATACCCTAGGTTTCAGCACTGTGCTAAATGTTAGGAATGGTGGTGAAACAGGCTTCCCTAAAGGGGACTAGCAACAGAAGTTGTTTATGAAATGCCTACTAAGAACTAGGTACTATAGGATTTCTGTTTTCATGGGATTGAGGATAGAATCCAGGCTTTATGCATGCTAGGCAAGCACTAGAACATGAGTACTCCTGGCGTATCACTCAGCCTGGGGGATGATTTGGGACATCCCTGACACATACTTTAATAAAGATAGATACCATTTCTATTCCTGTTTCACAGATAGGGGAACTAAACAAAGAAGAGAGATGGAAGCAGTCCACTGTCACACAGTAACAATGCACCAAGAAATCAAGTTCAGCTTGGTGTGTAGGTAGTCACATGCCTTTAATCCTCAGGTTCGTGAACCAGAGGCAAGGAGATCTCCATGTGACTAAGGACAACCTAACCTGGCCTACAGAGTGGGTTCCAGGCTACCTATGGTCACATAGTGAGACAATGTCTCACGAGAAAAAGATAAGAAATACAACCCAGGTTTTGGTCCTATAACTGACCTCTGTGAGTTATTAAGTGCTTCACTATATTGCCTTTCATGGAATGCCTAGTTTAGTGGAGGCCATCATGTGAGTTAGCACTAATAATTTTGAGTAGCAGACGCTACTACTAAGGAGAGAGGAAATATGCACCAAACTCAGGAGGAAGAAAGGGCTCTCTAAAGAGATATGTGAGGAGAGCCTTTGAAGGAAGGCCAAGAATCTTTCAGAGGAACCCAGGTAGGAAACAGAGACATCAGACATTCTACGGAGAGTAAATAGCATAGGCAAACATTTATAGGCAGGAAGCAATGAAGCCTATTCAATAAATTAAATATGGATCTAGCACAGGGTATAAAAAAGTAGAGAGAGATGAAGTCAAGTAGGTAAGCTGTGCTGAATCCATCAGTTTATACACCACAATAATGAAATCCTGAAAATGGTGAGTTTGAGACCAGCCTGGTCTACAAGAGCTAGTTCCAGGACAGCCTCCAAAGCCACAGAGAAACCCAGTCTCGAAAACAAGGAGAAAGCTACAGAGTTTTAAGCACTGAGCGATTGGAGGCAGGTCACCCAGACTGGTGACCTTTATCCAGGAAAAAAGGGCAGCCAGGGATAAGAGGAAAACACTAATAAGTGCACTAGCTGATGGAATGGAGAGGTATTTTTCAGAGATATTTAGGAAATGGAATCCAAACTACTTGTTGACTGAGAAGGCACTGAGAAGTCAAAGGAGGGAAGGGCCTAAAAGCCTTTATGCCTTCTGTTAAGGATTTGGGAGGATGAGATGCACATTTAGAGATGGAGTTAGGAATTCAATTTGTTCATTTTGTTATCTGAGATGTCACAGGGAGGATGTCTATTCAGAGAAATATATTCAGTTGGATAGAAGGGTTCAGAGATAGGGAATGAAAATCAGCCTATGTAATTACTTAAATTCAAATAGATTACTGGAAAAGTCTGAAAGCTAAGGAGTCCCTAAACTCAAGTCCATCTTTATGTCTGCAACACACTCTAGATGAGAGACTTAACTTATCACCAAGATGAAGGGAAAGCAGGTCCTTCTGCTTCAGAACTCATCGTTAAAACTAAATTCTTTAGCTAGGCAATCAATAGTCACTCCTATTTCCTGTTAATTACAGGAGCCAATGATAATCCTGATCTTGTAATTTTATTGCTCCACTCCAATAATCTAACAGCTTCTGCCATGTATCCTGGATCCAGTAGAGGAAGAAAAAGAGAAGGAAGATTCTGCTGACCATGGAAATAATTCAAATGTCCATCACAGCCTTTTCAAAAGTTGGAATTTTAGCAACCGTATAAATAAATGAGCCATAGCTTCAGGGAACGGATACATTTTGTTAAAACGTTAAGTTTAAAAAAAAAAAAAAAAAAAAAAAAAGGTAAGCCCAAGAAGACTTTGACATACCATTTTCATAAAGTTCAAAAATAAAGTTTTAAGTAATACATTATTTATGACTCAAACTGTTAAGATATTTTAAAAAGCAAGTGAATAATCAACATAAAAATTTAGGATACAACCTATCTGTCAGGGTATAGGGAATTTGGAAGTAGCATGTTGGTGGCTTCAACAGTATTAACAACATTCTATTTCTAAGATGGGCACTAGATTTACTTCATGACTTACACTTTATATATATTGTTCTTTACACAATTTCTTTCTTGTAGCACTGGATATGAAGCCTGCTTTTATGTTACACACATTCATATATAAGAATATAAGCAGGGCGGTGGTGGCGCACGCCTTTAGTCCCAGCACTTGGGAGGCAGAGGCTAGTAGATCTCTGTGAGTTTGAGACCAGCCTGGTCTACAAGAGCTAGTTCCAGGACAGCCTCCAAAGCCACAGGGAAACCCTGTCTTGAAAAAACAAAAACAAAAAACAAAAAACCAAAAAACAACAACAACAAAAAAGGAATATATATCCAAGGGCTGGAGAGATGGCTCAGAAGTTAAGAGCACTGGCTGCTCTTCCAGAGGTCCTGAGTTCGATTCCCAACAACCACATGGTGACTCACAACCATCTGTTATGAGATCTGGTGACCTCTTCTGGTGTGCAGATATACATGGAAGCAGAATTTTGTATAATATATATCAAGCACTATAAACACTTAAAGAGTCATTTAACTTAGTTTAATCCTTAAGCATGACCCTATCCTGATAAAGAAGCATCTTTATTTTGAAGTTTTACCAAACACACACACACAATTACTTTACAAACAACATGGAATACTGAATCCATTAGAAATAATTTTCCAGCAACTTTCCAGCACTCTGGCTATCTTAGGACAATTTACAGACCTTGTTAAACATCAATGAAAGTGAATGTGCCTGAAGAGGAAAGAGTGTTTTCAAGGCAGGGTTCTCTGTGTATCCCTGGCTGTCCTGGAACTAGCTCTGTAGAGGAGGCTGAACTCAATTCAGAAATCTGCCTGCCTCTGGAGTGCTGGTATTAAAGGCATATGCCACCATACCTGGCAAGGTATGCCTTTTAATAGACTAAAACAAAACAAACAAAAACCAAACCAAACCAAAAGCACGTTATATAAATAGAAAAGCAGGAAAAAAGGTAATGAACAAAATACACGAGGGGAAAATACACAAATAAACCAAATGCTAGTAAGAATGGAAAATGAAGCTGGGCAGTGGTGGTGCACGCCTTTAACTCCAGCACTTGGGAGGCAGAGGCAGGAGGATCTCTGTGAGTTTGAGACCAGTCTAGTCTACAGGGCACTACACAAAGAAACCCTGTCTCGAAAAACAACACACACACACACACACACACACACACACACACACACACACACACACACACACACACACAGAGAGAGAGAAATGCCTTTTTTAAAAAAAAATCTTATAAACTAGAAAAAGCATAAAATCATCATGTAATCTAAAAACTTTTATTGGAAAGATTTCTTGCGATAACATTTAAAAAGTATATACAGACTTCATCAAATATTCAAAGCAAGAAGATACTTACAAAGTCATCTCCTGAGTCAGCTCCCACAGAGGTCACAGACTCCTTGCTCACAGACCGTGGGATTCTAGTGGAGCCTCCTGGCCTCTGAGCAACAGCAGTCTCTTCTGCAATTTTCTTCTTTAGTTTTGCGAACATTTTTGCTGTGTGGCTATCTTGCAGGGGAAACTAACCCCTGAACTTCTCAGTGAATGAAATAAAGACACAAGTACCTACAAAGTTTCAGGCCTCCAGTCTAGCTGCATCCCACTTAAATGTAGGCCAAAGAATTTTGGCAACACAGTATCTATAAATCAGATGAAAGAGATAGTTCCAAGTTAAACACTGGAAAGATTTCACATCCCCATATTAAGCTTCAGGTTTCAAAAGTAGTTTTATAATAAGAATATACACACATAATAGAACACAATTATTAAACACTTAAAAAGCACTCAGGTGGGGCTGGAGAGATGGCTCAGAGGTTAAGAGCACTGGTTGTTCTTCCAGGGGGCCTGAGTTCAATTCCCAGTAACCACATGGTGGTTCACAACCATTTACCTTCTTCTGAACTGCAGGGATACATGCAGACAGCACATTGTATACATAATAAGTAAATAAATCTTTAAAAAAAAAAGCACTCAGGTGCTTTACCTGCATATATGGGTAAATAACTAGTCTGAAAGAGGCAAAATAAACTGCCAAGGACTGTATAGCTAAGTTATAGGGATAGTATCTGAATACAGAACCCTCTGACTCATGAACTTCGACTTTTTGACTTAGTATACTAGGCTAGTATTTGCATAAGGCACATAGGAAAAATTCCCAGGCCAACACCATGTAATCATGACTTAATGCTTTTGAATCTTCCTTCTAATAGTATGTTTACTAAGAATTTAGTGCTTCTTCTCTTTAAGTCAAAGACACAAAAGTAAAAAGATATGGAATATACAATGCAATCCCTGGTTTTCAATTAGGTGCTTCCTCCTAGAGGGGATAAAAAAAAGTCACAACATAGAAAAAACAAAACAAAAAAACCCAGGAAACCCAGACTAAAAGCAGCCATCAGACAGTCTAACTTTCCACATCTGTGTGGAAATGTGTGGTTTCCTTTTTGCTTCATAACATTACTTCATGCCGCAATTTCTTTTCTTCCCATATGATACTTAATATGAGATTCAAATTTTTTTCCTCTCAATAGTATACAAAACATTACTGGGCCAAATGTGGTGGTGCAGGCCTTTAATTCCAGCAGAGGCAGAAAGACCTCTGTGAGTTCAAGGCCAATCTGGTCTATATAGCAAGTTTCAGCCCAGTCAGGGATGCATGATGAGATCTTGTTTCAAAAACAAACGAAGCAAACTTCTACTGTTGTTTCAATCTTAACTTTTTCGTCTTGTGAAGGATACACTCTGCTCTAAGATGATTCCTTACCCCTTCAGATTATCCATTAAGTCTATAAAATCCTTCAAAAACTTTATCCCCATTATCTGTAAAACGATTGTACTCACCTGTCTTATCTACTGTGTTAAAACAGTGTGGAGGTCAAAGTCACTGTCCTGAGTAAAACAAAGATAAAATGGGTTGGATATTTCAAGTGCAAGACCAAAATGTTCGTCGAGGGAGGTTCCAAAGGAGGGAGGGGGGCAGGGATGACTTAAATGGGCGAAACACCTTGTCATTACTATCAAGAGGATTCCCCTCAGGCCCTGTGAACAGCCTACCCGAGTTTCACTTACAAGTAGAAAGAATTTCTCGAACCATTAGGTGCCTACATTCACTTCTTTCTAAGAGTCATGAGCATAACAATTGAAGTAGTTGAAGGCTTCCCATGGACAGTATTTCTCAGCGGATTATCACACACATAGCATTTACCTGGTCAGACTTGGTAGTCTGGTCCCTGAGATTTAACTCTCACTAAGTCGCTGGGGCAAAAGACAGCAAAGTTCAGGCAGATGCTTAAGGTCCAGAGGTGCCGGTCACCGCGATTTTGAGCCCACTTACCCTGGCTCGCCCCGGAGCCGAGTCCTCGACAGGGCTGTCAACCAAGGGAGGCACCCAATCTGTCTGACAACAGGAAGATTGCTCCCAGAAAGGAGTGGTTACTTAGCTAAGGTGGCAGGGCCGCTCGATCCACAGGCCAAGGGAGCCGCTTCCGTCCCCCGCCCTAACCCCCTGAGCATTCCCGCACCGCCCCCACCCCGGGACGGGTCCTGCGTGTCCGCTGGCTCCCCGAGGCCACGGGAGGAA